CTAGTCCACACTGACTGGAGGCCTCACAACTGCCTGAAACCCTAGTCTACACTGACTGGAGGTCTCTGGCCTCTATGCGCTAATGTACACATACCCACACCGAGAGATACACAGATATACATCATTTTTTAAAAAAATTAAAATAATAAAAATGGATAAAAAACTGTCTTACGATGATGGACATGGTGGTCCCCATCTGTAACCCCTAGGCCACTCAATGCCTGAAGTGGAAATCTTAGGACTCAAGAATAAATGGGGAGCTGTGGAGATGAGCCCTTCCCAGCCCAGAGCTAGTATAACCTGCAAGGCCATCTCTGCAGGCCATTAGCCCCCACTGTAACGTACTGCCCTTCAGTCGGGAAGTAGGTCCCCCTGCAGCAGCCAGCAACACCCCTACCTACACTGACTTTTCTTCTTGGGGCCCACACAGTCCAAACCACGGATGAAAAATACTCCTGTTGGATTGCTTTATGGGCCAAGCTGGGCTCTGACTCTGCTCAGACTAGAATGACAAGTGACTGGGGCAGGGAGGGGGTGGTCTGCAGACTCAGTACCCTAATCCAGCCCCTCTCTCTACTCGTGGGGAGATGTGGCAGGAACACCCTTTAAGGGGCACCATGGCAGCTAGCCATGCAGGAGAGTCTTAACGTAAACTGCATCATGCTAGGAAAACTGAGAGGCTGTAAGCAGGACTACCCACCAGACAGGAGCCCTTCCTGGCCACACTAGCTACGTGCAGGCCTACGCAGCCCAGCCAGCTAAGGTATGGGATGGCTGAAGACCAAACGACCACACAGGTCTCACCGTGCCCCACACAACTACAGTATCGATCTGCCACCCCTCCTCTTTAAAACACCAAGAATCACCTTGAGGATCTCTTTTGGAGGGCAGAGTCAGGACAGTCATGCCACTATGTGATGGCTGAACTCCCAGTGTCTGTCTATGTCAAATGGAGATAGTGGGTGAGCACTCTGTGAATAACCCCAACTTCCCCTAAATTTGGGCAGCCCTCACATGGTAGCCCACAGAAATGAATACTAGTTCTCCTGTCTCAAAGAACAGACTGAGGAGAATGGGCAGAGTCCAGTACTGGGTCCCCTCAGAGGGGAGATGGCATAAACCAGGCAGGGTTTGACCCAGATGTATAGTGGGAGCAGCTGACAGAACTAAGCATCTTCCAGGGCAAAGAGGAGCTGGGCTTCCCATCAATGCCGCTGAACCACTGGGGAAGGCAAGCTCCATGGCCTGGGTCAGGGTTGTCATGGGACAGGACAGGGAGGCCTCCTGGTGCTGGTCACTGCCATGCCCTCTTGGGTTTATTATCCTAAGCCCCAGACTGCCTTACCACAGGAACCTCTTTAAGGTGGTATGACCTTGACACCAACCACAGCTCAGTAACTACTTGTGATCCCCAGAAAGTGAAGCAGCAACATGTCTGCCTCTGCCACTAAGGGACTGGGGGTCAGATCTGCCTGGGGAGCAGAACCAGAGCACAACCAAGGCCCTTGGTCTCCCTAGCCCAGGTCCTACACTACCCCACTGTGCCTGCTGCTGGGACTGAGGCAGCTCCTGGCTCCTGGGTTTGCTGACTGTGTGGAGACAACACAACCCAGCCTGGAGCTCTGAGAGCTCAGATAAGCTTCCTGTGCCAGAGAAGGATGGGGTGGGGGTGAGGGAGGAAAAGGGAAGTGGCTCGGGCTACGGCTTTCTCTGTATCCTTGGCTATGTGGGATCCAGGATCATTCTCCTGCTCTTGAAGTGCTGGATACTGACAATCTCTCTGGCTTGGGGAACAGCAGCTCCAGAATATATAGATGTGCTGGAGCGGGCTTGCCAGCAGCCCAAAGGGAATGCCGCTGGACACCTGCCTCTCCTCTCTCAGAGCTCTCCCTCTATGACAACATGCAGTTCCCAAGTGTCTGTTGACAGCACATCAGGGTATTACATCTATGCCTGTTGCCCTGCAGCAGAAGTCTTGGGCACTAGAAGGGCCTCCTCTGTGTAGGCTGAGATAAATGGAGTGGGCAGGAAGAAGAGATGGGCATCCTGTTGTGTAAACTGAGACAGTCAAGCCTCCGGAAGGCAGGGCTGTGTCCCGCCACAGAGCTCGGGGCCTTGCTTCTAACAGCAATGCCTGACATCTAAGATCAGAACAGGAGCCAGAGGGAGGGCTCTAAAACGGCTCAAGGTTACAAGGGCTGCCGCATTATTTAGGGAGGAGGTTAAGATGGGGTCTAGTGTGTCCCAGGCTGGCCTCCAATTCCCTGTGTAGCCAATGACCTTGAAGTTCTGAACCTTCTACCTTCCCCTCCTGAGTGCTAGAGTTACAGGGCAGATCATCATGGCTACAGACAGAATGCTGTTATCAGTGGTACAGCAAAGCACACTGGGAACAAAAGCTCCTAAAGGGCAAGGAGGCAAGGGGGTCCTAGCCACCCATCATACCTCAGGACACACAGCAGACAGTAGGTCTCTGAGAGGCACTGGACCTCACTTGGGGTGGGAAACTAAAGCCAGAGGGAGTCTTTATCAGGGCACCTGCAAATAATCCAGAGTCCATCAGCTCAAACTCAGGCATCTTGTCTGAGCAAGGAGCAATGGGCCACCCGCCCAGGTGGTGAGTGTGAGGCTATCCCCAGTCAAAGCCAGACACAGAGAGCCTGCAGCCCCATGGTCAGGGCTAGGTCTTCCCTCTACCTGCTCATCCCATGACTCCCTTCCCCAGCACACCCAGGGTAGCAATGTTACCACCAATAACCTAGATTTTAACCAAGAAATTGCACACCCCTTCTCTGCCCCACTTACGGGCCTGCTGAAGAGAAAGACAAGGAAAGCCAGATTGTGCACAGGGCTAACAGAGCAGGCCAGCCCCACAGCCTGTCTATGTTCCAGCACACCTCACCACCACATAATGGGTCAAACAGGATTCCCTCCTGACGCCCAAGGCTCCAGAGAACACCCCTGGCAAGGACCCTGTCCCATAGCCCCTAACACTCAAACTATCTATGAACCAAGAGAGCTGAAGTATTTGATTAGCCTGACCAAGGTTGGCTGAGAGTTGCCTGGCCTCCCGTTCCCACCTTATACATGCCAGCTCTGCAAAACCTTCCAAAGCCACTGTTCAGCCGGCTCCTCAGAAAACCTGTTGAAGCAGCTGGGCTGCCCCTGTGTAGGCAAGGTTAGGGAGTCAGACTATACAAGCACCAATGAGCAGGTTCAACACACATGATATTGGATACACTTTGCCCTGTTCCCACTCTTCCACCCACCAAGCCAAAGCCAAGGTCAACTAGGGGGAGGTAAAGGCTGTGCAGAAATGATCTTGAGGGGCGAGTAGAGATCAGACCCTTCCCTGGCTCTGTGGAATCCCAGTGAACATCCCCTGCCCTCGGGTCACAACTGATTCTGCCCCAACCCCATTTCAGAGCTCTGTGTAGTCATCAACATAACGGGAAAGGGCACCATTAATAGGTTCTGCATTACAGAAACCTCCAAGCCTTGGGGTCCCAGGAACAAAGGGGTCTTGGGTCCTTCCCTGGACTCCTAACTGGTGGCCAGCAGGTGTGGAAGGCCCTATACACTGGTGGATTCCTTGTAGTGGGCCTGCTCACCCTGGCCAATGCAGTGGCTAGCACTGTATCTTGCTATCAGGAGAAAACCAGCTCCAGTTCTCCCCCATGAAAAGGAAACAGAAGCTATCTACTCAGACCCAGGAGGCCCAGAGCCCCATTCCAAAAAAACTTATACAAAAGTGCAAGAGTCAATAAAACCCTCAAGGGACTCTTGGGCCACTGAGACCCCCTGCTCCTTCATGTGCTCAATGTCAGGCAGACGACTCTGACAGACTAGTGTCAGCCCCCATGTGCAGGGTCTGGGCTCCTGACCAACTCCTCCAGACCACACACCTTGCCTGCAGCATAGTGACCTTCCACACCAGGCTGCAATCATTATAAAGTCCCACTATGTGCATGCCCTCTGTAGGCTGTTTGCATCTGGCACAGTGCCAGGCTCTGCCATTTGTTACCTGCATAGTTTCCTGTGGCCTTAATGTACATCTGGCCATACTGCTCCTCCACCATGGTGTCATAGGCTTCGTCATCTTCCTCATCCTCCTCATTGTGGTAGGAGGTGGGGCTGTCAGTGGTGGGCAGGCTGCTGGCCCCAGGACTGGTCCGCTCCCCCTGGGGATAGGGTACCTGCTGGATGCTGGGGATGAGAGTGGCCAGGCTTGGCACACCATAGTAGGAGACTCGAGGCAGCTTCAGAGGGGCTGTGCCAGGTGTCCCTGAAGCACCCGTAGCTACTGCCACACCATCTCGAGGGCCCGTCTCCAGTGGGCGTTTGGAAGCCAGGCCTGGGCCAGTGGCCGGTGGCATCTCCATAGCTTCATGCTTTACACGGGTCAGAAGCGGGATGGGCACAGAAGGAGACGTGACATAGGCAGCAGTAGCCGGTTGCAGCTGGTTGCAGGGACTTTGGGGCTCTGAGCTGGCATCTTCAATCATGGTGGTCTGCGAGTCACAGTGGGGTGAGCTCACCTTGAACATGAGATCTGTGCCCCGCTCCACGATGTGCTGGATCTGCAGGAAGCCGGCTGTGTACATGACCACGAGCTGCTCACTGGCCGCCATGGTGAGCTTACCTGTGTAGCAGAAGGACAGAATCTGCTGGAAGCAAGCAGGCGGCACAGTGCCTGGCAGCTCGAATGCACTCTTGCTATTACCACTGAAGAGGTCTCGGAAATAGAGGCTGCTGGCGGCCAAGACTGCACGGTGGGCCTTGAAGGCCTGGCCTTTAACCACGATGGACACATCACAGTAGAGGCCTAACAGGCGCTGTTCGTTGAGACAGCCAAGCACTGTGTTCCCGAAGTTGGGGATCTCGATGTGCAGCATCTGAGACATGGTGGGTGCTGTGGTGGGTGGGTCTTAGACTCAACGTGGGGCAGCCTGGATGAGGCACATCTGTTGGGGGAACATTGTGGTCAATTAAATGCCAGATGCCCCCTACCCCTGTCTAGCAACCTGCTCCCAGCCTCTGACAAGGGAAGGGCAGGGTAGTGCTGCTTAAGACACTCTCCTTAGCTAGAACATTCCTTCCAGAAGAACTTGGGGTGGGATGTGTCTCAGGATCCGGATCCTGGCTTGGAGGCAGGGGAGAGTGACCCTGACCTTACACAGGAATGAGAACCCCTGTCACCTACTCTGTTACAGAACCCAAGGACTACTCCCAATAATTTTGAGGGCAGATCTTTGTCCTCCCTATCTGTGCAGAGGACACAGGTCAGAGGCTTGAACCCTCCAGAAAACAAGACAGGAGTGAATTGGACAGACAAGTCACCCACTGGTTGGGGTGGGAGGTGTAAGGGCTGAGCCCAGGAGCAATCTCTGGGACTTCTCTAGAGGGAAAAAGTTCCCTGAGCCTAAAAGCCCCTCACTGTGCAGCCTTCCCTGAGAAGGACGTCCCAGAGCAGGGAGGGCTGTAGTTTCAGGTCCTCTTTGCTGGCTGAGCAGCCTGCGGAGGGCACTCCGAGGAACTGCAGAACAGCTGTCCCCCCTCTCATACACAGCCCTTGCTCAGCTTCAAGCTTCCTCTGCGGGATAAGGAGGAACAAGGAAGGAGGACTAAAGGAGAACTCAGTGGGCTCCTGCCTCCGCTCTTTCCTTGGGGACAGACCTCTATTTGCGGGGTGGAAGGGCTCTGGGTACACCTGGCAGCCCCAAACCGGGACCCTGGTCCTGAACACCCTCAGGGATGCAAAAGGAGTTGGTGCTTGTCGCAGAGCAGCCTCACGCCTGTGCGCCCTCCCTCCGCCCCACTTCCCAAACCGGCCAATCCCAGCTGGCTTGGTCCCAGCCCAGGTAAGTAGAAGGGTCTCAGAACTAAGCCCGCCAGGGGGCAGGGGTAGAGGGCAGGCCGCCACTGTTTATCAGTACTGGACTCTGCCGACGGCGGCGGGGGGGGGGGGGGGGATCTGGAGGGGGGGTGACCGGAGAAGGCGCAGGCCCTGGCCCAACTCTGCAGAGCCGCACAAAGGGCCGCTCTGTCCCGCGGGAGGAAAGTATGGGCGGCCGCAGAGGCGCCGGGTGGCTGTAGAGGAGGGCGGAGCCACCCTGCGCCAGGAGTTGGGCAGGTGGGCGCAGCGCAGGGGCGTCCCGCAGTGCCCCCGTTACAGAGAAGTTGCTGGGCTGACCGGCAGGCAAGAGCCGGAGAGGAAAGACCTACCTTTAGCGGCTGTGGCCGGCGGCAGACACTGCCCACTCAGCCTGGCAGCAGGCTCCCGCACACCGGCCCGCCAGCTGCTCGGGGAATGCAGCAAGGAACCCTGAGGTGGGGAGGGCGTGAGGAGCCCTGCAGGAGGGGTGGGGGTGGCAGAGAGCTGGGCGCTGGGCTCGGCGGCCGCAGCTCAGCTGCACCCAGGCCGGCTCTCCCGGGCAGCGCGCAGCATCTCAATGAAGCAGCCGGATGCAGACGAACATCCAGGCAGCTCTCGGGAATGAATAGCCGCCTTTGATTTGGGAGCTGAAGTAAATGCCAGCTCCCAGCCCCAGCTTTAAAAACAGTGGCGCGTTGGTGCCAGAGGAATGCACGGCTCCGGGTGTTGGTGCAAGACAGACTTTTGATGACTCACTGCAATGCAAACAAAGATGGCAGAAATACTGTACTGTACGTGGAGAAATGCTTCGTGGTGCCACGGCAACTGAGACAGCTTGGAAATTTATAGTGCAGTTTTGCATATGAATTACCCAGTAAACTGCCTCCCTGCCATCCTGTACAGACCCAGTGTCAAAGCATTTAAACTATTCCAAACAGTCTGCAGAGCTGGCAGCGCATCGAACTTAACTCTTCCTGGGTAGCAAGAGACTGAGCAGGAGGCAGGGCAGGGGGCTAGGGAAGAAGGAAGGGGTGTAAGCACAGCCAGGAGATGGGGAGCAGGAAGGAGGATGCCAAAGAAGTCCTAAAGAGGCACAGACTGGGAAGGGGTTAGGACCCTGGAGCTATCTCCCCTACTTTTCCTCAGAGCCAAGCACTCTGCTGGGCCACAGGCTCCATAACAGTGGGCCTTGTAGGTCCAGAACCCTACTTCTACCTCACGCCCACCTTCTCATATCTGACTGGCTCTTCAAGAAAGGAGGAACTTTATGGCCAGGTATACCCCTGTGCTGAAGGGTACCTGCTCCTTCAGCTTCCTGAAATACTTCTTGCAAATAAAGACCAGCTGTGCAGCTAAGTAAGGTGTTCCCCATGCCCTTTACGGGTCTTTTTCTGGGAAGGGCCAGTCATGTTCTGCTTGGGCAAAGGGTAGGCATCTCCTTCCAGGCTTATAGCATTTGCTTAATTGCAAGGGCCTTAGGGAGAACTATTGGACAGTCTGCCTCAGTTTCTCTTACTGTCACTAACTGTGCTTCCAGAAAGAACATATTCTACCTGCAAGAAAGGAAAGGGTCAAAGCTGGCAATGGTGGTGTCTACTGAGAAGCAGTACTATCAAGGTGACACAGGCTCAGGGGGTGACAGTATTAATGGTCCCTCATTCCCAGTGAATCCTTCAAGACACCAGGAGAACAATAACAGAAAGGAGCCATCTGGCACCTCCTTATTTACACACTGTGGGCTACAGACAAAAAGCCCCTGAACAGGGATGGATGGCAGGGAATCCAGATGTGGAAGCTGCCAGCAAGCCCAGCCTGTAGAGCCCTCCAAGCCTTTGTCCTCTTTGCCTCCTTAAAGGAGGTAATAAAACCCCTCAGGGTGGCTGGCCATGAGGTTCTCTGGAACCTGAAGTCTACAAACTACTGCTGAGTCCCGCTGAAGGGAGGTTCTCCACAAGGCAAGGAGACCCAAGACTTGGCAGGGTCACCTCTGGCCCATATCCTACCCAGAACAGTCCTTCCACCTTCTCACCACTTAGTGGCTGCTTCCTCCCAGAAATTTTACAGGCAGGCCTCACAAGCCCATATTGGGCAATTGTAGGTGTGCTCAGGGCTGTATGGGGCACTGGCTAACTGCTGAGCATGGCAAGAGAGGCTACTCAGAGACACACAGCACAGGAGAAACAAAAAGGCTCCATTCCCAGACGGACAGCACCCACCACAGAGATGCTTTCTGCACAGAGCCACAGCTTCTGCCACAGGAAACTCCAATCAAACAGAGGCTCTCCCGAGGCCAGGCCAGGGCACAGAAGCCAGCAAAGCCGCAGTATGACCCAGCCCCAGTAGGGTCCCAGTACTCAGCTAAGCTGATCAGTAACCAGGTACAAAGATCAGAGGCCAGAGTAATGCTCCTGGGACCAGCCCCTTCCAACAGAGTGGGCCCTGGCTTGTGGGCCAAATTAAATTCTCTGTCCTGCCAGCAATGGCCATTTCCTATGACCTGCAGTCTCTGGTGACAGTTGTGTAGTGGGGTAGGGGTGGACTCTGGGGAAGTTACAGAGCACAGACCGAGACAGAATCTGTAAAGCTTGCAGCTTGGACCTGCTACCGAGTAGACTGATGGTGTCTTTGATTTTCTTTGACCTGAGCAGGTGAGGCATTTATGTCCATACCTCAAGGGTTGGTGCCCAGGACCTGGGCCAGTGCAGTTCATGCAGAGAAGGGGCCATTATACTCCCAGAAGGTGCCGAGGCCAAATCTGGTCCCCAGGGATCGAAGGACAACTGGCTCATTTGCTACCTTGTCCTCAGGCCACCTGTGCTGGCAAGGCTGATGCCTGCACCCAGCCTGCAAGAACCAGACCGGAGCTGGTTTTAGGTTGCTTTCTTAGAAGCCTTGGCTGGGGCAAAAACAAAGCTGAACTTTAGGAGAAAAGAATCAAATAAAGGCTTGGCTTACGCTCCTGGACCATGAAAGTAAGACTAGCCAGGGCTGACCCTGGGGCTGCAGTGGGGAATGAGAGAGCCTTGCATCTAAGTGGGCCAAAGTATGGCTGTCTGCTCCATGGGAAGGACAGAGCCTACTCCAGCATCAAGGCCTCCTCACGACTGTCTACACCAACTCATACAGTGGTCCTGAGCCACTGTACCTACCTGGCTCTTCTATAATTTATTTCCCCTCCTTGCCCAGCACAGCTCCTCTCCATGGTGAACTATGCCATATCTGTTTGCTTATGGAAATTTCTAGAGTCAAGTAGTAAATTGGCAGTCTCTGCCTTTGCTTACCCCATCCATCCTCACAGCGTCTTCACTAAGAAATTGTTTTTTTCATAAAAATCTTCAGGGTGTATCCTACTTTGGGAAACTCATAGAAACATCCCAAAGCCAGGTACAAGCCCTACTGTCATGTTCACCTTTGGTATCCTTGTCCCACACAGAGGAGGCTTCTGGGAATTCCCAGACAGTTCCAGAATCAGAGATGGGTGAGGTCTTTGTAGACAATCCCTCAAGGGAGGTTAGGGTCCTACCAGTCCCTTGAAAGCACCAAAACCAACATGTAGATGTGGAAAGAAAACTGATGAGGGGCACTGGGGACAGAGGTGAAGAACTAGAACTGTATCCAGATACTTGTACACAGGGGCTGGGCAATGTCTTGCTAGAGTTCAGTCCCCAAGCGGAAGGGAGAGCCTGCCAGAGTTCACTTCTCAGGAAACATTCAAATGAGGTCACAGCTTTCAGCCACACGGTACTCCAAGGTTTACCTGGGTCTTAGAACCACACCCCTGGGAAGCAAAGGCACAAAAAAAAAAAAAAAAAAAAAAGGCTGGCAGGCACATCTCCAAGGACAGGACAGGATCACCAATAAGCAGAGGCCAACTTTCCCAGCATCCCCAAACCAGTCTCAGCTCCAGGGCCTGTATGTCCTGTCTGGAATCCCACCTAAGACTAGGAACTTGTTAGCAAGTGGAGAGGACAGGGCTTGGTGTCCACACGATGACACCAGCAAGGAAAACAAGGAGAGAGAAATTAAATTATTTTGCAGGATTTAATTCTGTCAAATTAATAAGAAGCTTTAGACCTCGACAAACACACAGGTATCACTACACAGTTGCCAAGGAATGAAGGTAGCACTTCAAGAGAGCCCCTCCCCAGGCAGCCTCACCCACCCAGGCCAGTCCAGAAGCACCAGGAGGTTTGTGCAAGGCATCAACACCAGGAGGGCTGCAGATGGAAAATGGCAGAGCACACAGCATGTGGGGTTTCAGGAACACAGCCTGGCAGGAGCTCAGTGAGAACAGAAAAGAAACCCTTCTACCATAGTGTAGGCTAGAGAAGGAGGCCAGCTCCTTTATGGAAGACTTCCCAGTAGCTGACTGGACATGCCATCACCAAGGAACAGTGGGGGCGCCAGGGCCCTGAGTTAACCCGCCCAGCATCCTGGCTGCTAGCTTGGGTGTGCTCAAGTCTCCAAGAGCTGGGTGAGGCACCAGGTTGGCCCTGAGGTTTGCATTAAACTTTTAAAATACCATCAGGCAGAGAGCTAGGCTGCCTCAGGCCTTGCTGCTAATGGAATCTTTAGCATCTCACACAAGGACCCAAGCAAGTGGAGGAGCTGCAGCATTGGTCTTGGACACAATGCTCCTTCCCACGGTGCTTATGGGAACCGCATGTGCTGCTTGTTTGCCCACCTGAACCCCTCTGGATGAGAAGACTGGGACCACAGACCTGGCAGCTGTAGGCCAGGGTCTGAGTCACGGACACCTGGTAATCAAATTCTCTAGCTTCCTAATTTTGACACCCAGAGTCATGAGAGTCTTTGGTCATCAAATGACAAGAGCAAGAAGGGGAGTTCTGGCCCTGCTCAACTGACTGGACCAGAGCCAGCACTGTATAAGGTTCCCAGGGCTCTGCCACAAGAGGAGAATATATCTCAGCCTCCATACCTGGAAAAAGAGAGAAGGCACAGGGACTTCCCTAGCGCTGGATCACAGAAGAGGCAGTTCCCCAACATGATAGGTTTCCTTGGAGAAGAAGGGAGGGACCACATAAGCCCCCTTAGATGAGGCTCTCTCCTTCCAGACCACAGGCCTGGGCCAGCAGCAGCCACAAAATCCTGTCCTAACTGCACAACACAATGTTTGCCTGTTAGCTTTTTTCTTTTTTCCCCAGAAGGAAAAGGGAAGGAAGCCAACTCAAAAAATTGACTTGTCAATCTTTGCTTCCTTGCTGCTCTTTGCTGGTCCTTTAAGAAAGAACAAAACCAGTGTGTGTGTGTGTGTGTGTGTGTGTGTGTGTGTGTGTGAGAGAGAGAGAGAGAGAGAGAGAGAGAGAGAGAGAGACAAACATGACCTATGACCACCTAGCATGAGTCCTCTATGGAATACAACTACCACACCTAAGCATCACAATGACAGATTTTGCTACCTATCCTCAAGATGGTCAGTCTTGCACCTGATAACACTGGATGGACCTTGTGGACTGATATGGCCCAATAGAAACTTATGTCCACAGGTAACAGCAAAAGCAGGTAACAATTCTAACATCTACAGCTTATCTGAGACATAAACCCCATCTATGCGGGCCTCTAAGCCAGCAGTTCTCAACCTGGGGGTGGGGGTGGGGAGGGGTTTTGACCCCTGTGGTATCTCATATCAGATATCTACATTACAATTCATAATAGCAGAATCACAGTTATAAAGTAGGAACCAAATAATTTTTTGGTTGTGGGGAGGGGCCGCCACAACGTGAGGAACTGTATTAAAGGAACTGCATTAGGAAGGTTGAGAACACTGGTCTAGGCACTAGGGATGTTCAATGATGGGGCAAACAAAACATTACATGTGTTGCATAATCAGTAAGTCACTCAGGGATGGGGTGCAGTATACCAGGAATGTGCCCCACATCCCCCTCGCTGACCCTGGCTTCCCAGCCCCGCTGACCCAGAATTCCCACTGATTCAGAACTCTCCTGAGCTAGACTGCTTCCAGAAGGTTTCCAAAG